TGTTTGTGACCTACCCTGGAAGTTCTCTGAAGGAAGGAGAAAATATAGGTTAAATCTGCATGGCCAAGTCAGTCTGAAACCCTAATAACAAGTTTCTTCAGGCTGTTATCTTACCTGTAACCAGCCATACCTGGTGTGAAAATTTAACCCAAATATTTGACTTAGTGGGCCATCTAAACCCATTTTGGCTCTACAAAAAAAATGGAAACTATAGTTTACAAAACTTGTTAATAAATTCCAGTTTCTCCTTCATTCATGTAAATGTCATTTGAGACAAATTCAAATGCTTTTGAAAATGTCATTTACTGAGAATATCTGCCCTGTGATTCTGAACATTATTTCTTTTAATATGTCCCAATATCAGCTACTCTGTTGAGATCTGTCCAAAAAATGAATCATCATTTTTTGTTCATGATAGATTTAGCTTGAAAACAAACAAGCCAATAAATTAAAACAAAATATTTTTTTTAAAACCCAGCCACATCCTCATTTTCCCAGGAGAATTCCAAATTGGATTAATATTCTTATCTGATCTTAAAGCATTTGTCATCTGGTAATGGAGCCCATAGGGACATTTAGCTAACTGCAGAGTTGCCAATCTTTTCAGTTTGGGGAAACTGTTTTATTATTCTTTTACTTTCAAATATAGGTGAAATTAGACTGAAGGAAATTGGCATCTTTCACTTACAAACTCTTATTTCACCAGAACAATTGTTATTACTGTTACTACTCTTCTAGGAATAATTCATTGCCAAGATCAAGAGAAGCCTAGTAGCCATCTGGAAGTAATGGATTAAAGTGCAAAAAGGTCTATTTCTCCTCCCACTCCTTTTTTAAAAAATAATGCTGACCTCTTTTACTAACCAAATTGACACCCTTCCTCCAGTTGAAATAAATATCATAAATGACTATCATTGCAGGAAAACATCATTTATCAAAATAAAAACAGGGTTTTTTGTTTTGTTTTGTTTTGTTTTGCAGTAAAGCTCCTCTATTTTGAACAGTAATTCTACTTTTCTAAAATGCAATTAGAAGAGAGTTCTCTGATTCCATCATTTTCCTAGAGAGAATTCTTATAGGCCTTTAGCTATAAATAGCCAAGTAAATAAAAAGTTTCTTATTATTCTTAATGGACACAATAAAATTATTGTCTCTGGTAAATAAAATGGCCAAATCAAGTTGTGAAATAATCAGATTTAAATAAGATTAAATTATGTGGATCTGGTTTTTATCTATATTGATTCTCATTTGTTGTTATTAACAAGTTTCAATAAAACTATTTCATATTGTTTTTCCCTTCTTATATAGACTGTCTCACGCATAGTAACTGTACTATTATTAAAGTATTAACATTTTATAAAACAATTGAAACAAGATACCATATATATAATAAATTTCCATGGATTTGATACTAGCACTGGATATTTCTGAGGCATATATTCAAGATCATGGAAAAAGAAGAATAAAATGCCTAAATGAGACATTTTCAAAAATAAGGTGAAGTATTAACTTTTGAGTATCTGTGAAAACAAGTTATACCAGAATTGGAACTTAATCCCTCCATATAGTCTTGATACATCCTTGATAACAGAATACTAACTGAATCAAGTAAAACATTGAAAATGAAGGTAAATTTTTCATAAATTATTGGCCTCTCAGTAGAAATAGCAACAATCAAAACGTCATATCTGCTATGAAGAATGCTAGCGGCAAAATATCTAATGGTATGATCTGATGAAATCAATATTTTTAATTTATACTTGATTTCCTAACACATGTGGTTTTATATTATAGAGGACAAAATTAATTATTTTTAAGATAATACAGTTCTTCCAAAGATTACACTGATTGAACTGTTTATCTAGCTGCATGTCTATCTCTTCAGGAAATAATATATTGATTATGTACCATTTAGCTGATGGTGACTCCTAGCGACCACGTAGATAGGCTTTTTACAGGATGCTCTACCCCCAACATGGGTTTTCAGGTTTTCCAGTTTTACACCCACAACTGTTTACAGGAAATAATATATATGGTTGAACTATATTCCCCCTCAAGTCTTGCTGAGCTACCTCATTGGGAGGCAAGAGGAGTTCCTGGGAGGAATAAGCAAAGAACCATATGAGGAATTACACATCACCACAATGAGGCACTACAGCAGGACTGAAAAATGAGGGTGCTAGTGGCACCTGCAGAAAAGATATTCAAATAGTAATTCCACCTACCTATGAGCTAGCAGGGTAGTACACTGAAAAGAAATCATTTATTTGTTTTCATGTTGTTGTTTTTGCAGAATCTTAATTGAACTGTTTTAATTGGTCTTAATTGAACTGTTTATGAAAGCAGATTTTTATAATAAAGTAAAGTGAAATGCCCTAATCCAGATCAATACGCATGACTTTCAAACTTAATCAAACACACAAGTCTTGGAAATATATGATATAATTTTCACATCAATTAAAGCTGTCCCTCTTACAACTCACAAAAAAAATTTTGAAGATTGTTTAGCCTTATATTTTTTGCTGCTACTGCAAGTAAACCACCTGAATATTAACATAAATATTTATCAGATAGTAAATTGCAGTTAATCTCTGTGGGCGCTTTTGCACAGGGGTGTCTAACTCACAACGACACATTGTCATCATGTGACGTATCACAACTTTTTTCACCTTCGCTAGACCGGGGGTAGGCATCTGGCCCATGGCCCGCAAGTTTGACACCCCTCTTTTAGCAGATGTCTCCCTAATTTGTGAGGTGGCAAACTTCATTTGGAATTACAAGTTACAAAATAATGTCTAATGAATAATGTCTTCCATTGATTGATTGATTGATTGATTTCATTTATATGTCATCCTTCTCACAGATTCATGACTCTGAGCAGCCTTGAATAAAACCATAAAAAACAGTAATTACAAAGAACACTCTACAATTAAAACATTGGTATGAAATGGGCTAGAGACAGAGGACATTATATGTTACACGCAATATAATCACCTCATTAAGTCTCCATTTCTGTGAGGTCTCCAAGCCTGATTACATAACTAGGTTTTAAGGGACTTCCAGAAAATCATCAAGGATGGGACCAATCTCGTCTTGGGGAGAGATTATGTTCTACACAGGGCAGTCATAAAAGCCGTTTCTCTGGTCAGGATGAATAAAGTTATTTAGGTATCTTTTGAGCCTTTCTGCCAAGATGGAAGCAAAGATTTTGTAATCTGCATTCAGTAAAGAAATAGGTCTATAGTTCTTAATTTGTGATGGATCGGCCCCTTCTTTTGGAATAAGTGTGATATAAGCTTCTGACCATGTTTTGGGTATTTTCTTATTTAACATGGCTTCATTCATAACTTCTAACAATGGAATGCTCAACGATTCTTGTAATGTTTTATAAAATTCTGCCGGGAGCCCATCTGGGCCTGGTGCTTTTCCATATTCTTCATTATTCATGAAGAAGGATATTTTTGTGGTATGTTTATGTTTATCTTGTTATGTATGCTTATGTTTATCTTGTTATTAAAAAATAAAAAAAAATTATAAAAAAAGCCGTTTCTCCTAGGTCTCATTAGCTGTAATTTCTTAGCAGATGGGTCCCATACCATACCTCTTCTGCTAGATATGGTATGATGGAATGAGCAGAAGTACTTGGTGGTGGTTACCAACTAGTTTCACAAATATAAATTGATTGGCATGAAATACTTGCATATTTCCTATCAAGTAGACATAGGTCATGAACTAAAATTATAATTGGTGCAAAGGTGAGTGTATCAATGGTTATACATAAGAAAGCAAGTTAAATATCACCTTACATTTTCCTAGTTATCTAGCTGCTATAAACAGTCTTAAATATTTTCCATGTTGTTGGAAGGAAATTATTGTCAACATGTTTGAGGTTAGTTTTTCCATACAAATATAAGCCCAATGTTTCTTACCAAGATGTTTTAAATAATACTGATGATCAATGGTTAGACATACTCCTTTTAAAATATTATTCTATTTACCTAACAGTAAGGGAATAAAAATTCCACATCAGCATTAAGTAGAGCATCTGTGTTCAAGATGGGATAAAATATGTCTGACACATTTACTCTGGACTATTTCCAATTGATCCTATTCATTCAAGCCCCATATTTCTATCTCATTATGCATGGAATATATCCTTCATACTAACTGTCCACCATTCCAAGTTTAAACCAATATGGTTCAAACCAAAATTACATAAAGTAGCACTTTTTTAAATCATGATACTGTATCCAGTAAGTGGCTGAGGCTACAAAAGAAATCTCTCTATCTACTACATGTATAGAAATAAATACAGGTAGTCCAGAGGTGGTATTCAGCAGGTTCTGAGCACTTCTGGAGAACAGGTAGCAGAAATTTTGAGTAGTTCAGAGAACTGGAAAATACCACCTCTGACTGGCCCCGCCCCCATCTATTCTCTGCCTCCCAAGTCCCAGCTGATCGGCTGTGTCTTCTTTGGTTACCCTGCGGAGGAGAATGGAGCTGGAAAGCAGGTTAGTGAGGTGGGGAGGGAATGGGGATTTTGCAGTAACCTTCCCCTGCCGTGCCCACCAAGCCATGTCCATAGAACTGGTAGTAAAAAAAAATCTGAATCCCACTGAGGTAGTCCTTGATTTACAACCACAATTAAGCCCAAAATTTCTGTTGCTAAGTGACACAGTTGTTAAGTGAACGTTGCCCTATTTTATGATCTTTCTTGCCACAGTTGTTTAGTGAATCGCTGAAGTTGTTACGTTAGTAACAAGGTTCTTAGGTGAATCTGCCTTCCCCATTGACTTTATTTGTCAGAAGGTTGCAGAAGGGGATCACATGACCCTGAGACACTGCAATCATCATAAATATGAGCCAATTGTCAAGTGTCTGAATTTTGATCACGTGACTATGGGGATGCTGCAGCAGTCATGTGACAAACAGTCATAAGTCACTTTTTCCAGGGAACGGTCACTAAATGAACTGTTGTAAATTCAAGACTCGCTAAATAAAAATCTTCTTCCTACTCTTCAGGTTCTCAGTCAGCTGAGTTTGGATATAACAGCTCTTAGCCAATAGGGACCTATAATACAATAACACATATAAGTCCCACACCACCACTTTCTACTTCCTGATGTTTAATTGCTAGTTTATCAACAACAAGAAAATCTGGAAAATTCAAATTTGCATTATCTCCGTGCCAAATCTGACAAAGGAATATCAAATGAAATGCTGGAAAAAACCTGAAGATTTTTCATCCATGCTGCTATATTCTAAGGAAAAGTTAAGGGAGTTGTGTTTCTCCCACTCATAATCATTGTAATGCTTCCACTGAAATTTCCCTCTGACCACAGTGCCAAGATAACTATTCCCATTCAGGTGCCCAAATAGGATTAACTGGACAGCAAGAACATTGTTATTGTATTGTTTATTTCTGAGGAACAGTTTTATTCCCATGTAGTGAGGTGCTCTTTGGAAATCCAATGTGGAAGGAACTTTAATCATCTATCCTCTCCTACATGGAAATTTTCTTTTTAAACATTCTCCCTTATATGTTTTTCAAAGGCTTTGAATGGGTTAGCTTACGTGGAAATAAGAAAGAAATTAGAGAAATAGTGAATATAGTAGAATATGTTGGAATGTGAATGGAATTAGCAAAAGTGAATATATTTCAATTTTTCTTGTTCCAATAATATATGTAGTGTTTATGTATCAGACACAGGAGCAATAATTTTAAACAATAACCATTCTTGGCAATCCATGATGTTATTGTCTACTAACCTTTGTAAAATGAAGAACATTTTCCATAAAACATAATTCCTTTGGGACCAGCCATCACAGGATGACATCCCACTTCTAGCAATCTCATTGTTTCCTTGATCTGTCCATTTGATCAGCAAGTAGAAATTAATTTAACTGCTAATTTGCATTTCCCAGGCTAATCCATGAATGGTGATGCACTTGACCTAAATATTGCAGGCTATTATTAAGTTTCTGATATTGCACTCCAATCAAACTCATTTAAAGTACATACACAGGAGAGCTGATTATTTACAAAAAGTATATTTTTTTGTTGCTTTTGAGACATTCAAAAGGCAAATGATTCTGGCTTTTACACTTATTAAACAAATGGCATAAGAATCATGAGGAGGGTTTTTCTCCTGGTTGTTTTACTAACACTCCCAGAAGAATTATATCTATAGAATCTTTGAGAAGTCTAACATATTCAGGGAGCCCATGGTAATCAAATAATAGTAGCAGATCACAGGCCTACCTAAACGATCAATAACCTGATACACAACACAAACAATGCAGAAATGGGGCAGAACTTTTTCCATTATGGATGTAAAAAGCTATAGAAATCATCTATAATTGGGGTAATTCCATGCCATTAATTAGAATACAGGAAATATCTTCCCACACATACTCAACTTTAGCCCTCACCACATAAAAACTCAACCTTAGATCTTTTCCATGCAAAGCAACAGCCTTACCATTGAGTTACGTTCTCTCTGGACTTTTTCTAACCATCAGTCCAGTGGCTTGATTTATCTCAAAGGACCTCCACTCTTCAAAGACATTGTTCATTTCCTCAACCTTTCTTAATAAAAGAAAACTCCAAAACCAGATACTTGCCTTTGGGGGGAAAAAAAAGATAAGTCACTTGCATCTCCATTCACTACCACCCAAGAAGTCTGGTCTTCTGTCTGTTTGTCTGTCTAACTCCAGAAACTTCAGAAATAATTCTTTCTGGAAAACACAGTTTCTTAGTAGAAAATTATATTTCTTAGCACCTTCTTATACATCAACAAGTTCTGGAATCAAAATACTTTAGTTTAGTTTTTGAGCAGACTCGAGTTGAGCATAACTAAATGAAGGAGTCAGTTGAGATTGTTAGGTTATTGACATAAACTAGAAGATGCCCTCCTGTACTGGTTATTCCAAAACTTCTTCAAAGTTAAGATTGTTTTGCTTAAGAGGTTGGCGGGGGAACTCTAGTAGGATATGAGGGAAAGGGAACTCTGTTGTTGTTTTGCAGAGAGAGGACTTGTCTTCAGTAGCACTTCCCAAAATTGTTCCATTTCACATTAATCCAGGAAAGATCTGGGAATGGAAGAAGTTTCTCTACAAATGCCCTCAGGCAACAGTACGCATGTGAGGGTTTTTTTTAAGTTTAAACACTGCAGATCTCTTAGCCACCATGCACATTCAAAAACTGTGTGCTTCCATCTCCACCCAGTGTGATAGTGATTTCTTCACAATATACTTGTAAAAGAATATTTGCTAAAAATGTGAGTCATCATACTGCCCTCCCACAACAAAATTAAGTCATATTTTTAAGACAGTATGTATTTATAAATATGCTAAGTGAAATCGAACAATCTTGAATTCAAATTTTAAAATGATCGGTTGGTAGCAGGCTACTGGGAAATCTTTCCTTCTCCATCTCATTTCTGTCTGAAAAACGGGGATAATCTTTACCTCTGTTTTCATTAAATTCTTGTGGAGCTGCATGACATAGGGAAACCTGGGTACCATCTTGTGGTCAATTAAACCCTCCAAAAAACACATATAAGCAAATGGCACTGGCTCTTTTGCTTTTGATTGAAGTCACCCTGACTCTCAATTCTACTAATTATTCTTACAGCTGTATAACCGAAGAAAAATTAAACTGCGCACAAGGGGAAAAAAATTCCAGCCATTGGCAACATCTAAGGTGGGTTAAAAAGCTGAGGCTTGCTAGAATGTAGCACCCAAAGGACTTGACATCAAGAATTGTCGCCTGGGTGAAAGTCTGCATACGGTATGATACACCTGCTCTCAGGGTGGTTGATCTGCAATACAGTCACAGAAAGCAATGAACGGTTTTCTGTGGTACGTCTTCACCACTGCAGACAGTTAGTAGTCATATATTTCCTCCAAACATTTTCAGGATGAATCACTGCAGCAGGAGTTGGTGGATACGCCTGGTTGGCAGCCCATTATGATTTTTATGATGTATCCACAGAGGTTTGTGTTAGGCTTTCTCCAACATATCTGCCTCCTACAGAAACATAAAATCTTTCAGCAATGGCAGCTTGGTTTTCTGGGGTTTTTTTCTCTCTCTCACTGTCTACCCATGTCCCACACCTCCACCCTAGTCATACTTTGCTGAAGAAAAACCAATCCTTTCCTCTTCTTCCTTATAATTGCTTTCTTCTCCTGGCACTCAGTCTCAAATATTTGCTTTAAGATAAACTACTCTTCTAGTAGACTAACACCATGGTGTTAAAAATGTGGCATGTTCATAAAAGGCAGAATAAGAAAGACAGGTGGGAATTGGAAAATTGGTCACCATCAGATGAATCAAACACATTTTGTCATGAAATGCCACTTCACTGTTAGACAGGGTGGGGCTACTTTGCCTACAGCCTACATTGGGAACACCTATGAGAAGATCCTGCTTATGCCAAAATTGAATCACACGGTAACAGCAGATGTAGGATTGACTCCACAGGCTACATGCATACATCCCATTATCCTATGAAAAAATCGTAGTCTTCATCTAACTAAATATTCATCTAATACAACTCTGTTCAAATTATTGGACATATGTTACACAATTTTCACTGCTCTCTCGGTTCTCCCTCCCTCCCTCCCTCCCTCTCTCCCTCTCCCTCTCTCTCTCTCTCTCTCTCAGGTTGCCCGAGAGCCAAATTGATGAATTTCAAACAATGTATAAACTTCTGCAAAGAACAATATGAAAATAGATTAAAGTTATTTGCAAAGGAAACTTCTGGCTCAGCTGACCATCCTCAGGTGAGGATGCAGAAAAAGAGGAAGGGATGTATTTCTATGATGCTCAAAGGAGCACACCGGAGGTGGTATTCAGCAGGTTCTGACCAGTTCTGGAGAACCGGTAGTGGAAATTTTGAGTAGTTCGGAGAACCGGCAAATCCCATCTCTGACTGGAGATTTCGCAGTATCCTTCCAATGCCACGCCCACCAAGCCACGCCCACAAAACTGGTAGTAAGAAAAATTGAATCCCACTACTGGAGCACATGTATATGTATGGGTGTGGGTGTAAGAGGAAGAGACTAGTATTTTCAGTAGGTGAAAATGAGCTTCGTGGGATTACATATTGGCAGTTTGAGAGAAGCTATTATGTATTGGCAGCACAAACTATGTTTTTATATTTGTTTACTTTATCTTAGAAGTTATTTGAGGAATTTGGGTGATTTGCAGGAGGCAAAACATTTTGGGTGCAAAAGAAATTGCTCCCTAGTTTATCAGTTTGTCTTTCTTAGAAACAGGTATTTTGTTATGCTAGTAAGTTGGACAATTACCAAACTCTACAGACAGCCCTTTTGGGATAGTGCTCACCGCAGGTCTCAAAAATTCAAATGGGACTGTTAGCCCCCAAAACTAGAGACCTGAATATTGAATTTTAAGAAGATCAACCATCCTAAAAGTGGTGTTTGCATAGTTTATGGAATCCCAGGAGCCCTTCTGACCTCCAGCATGATATGTGTAATATTCCATACATATCCCTTCCCATTCACTATACCCACACATCCCTCACCCTTCCTCACAATTCACCAATCCCCAGTGTCCAAACAGCATATCTAGAACAAAGAGGAAGTCAGTGGTTTTCCCCTTCCTTCCCTTTTCTTCCCCAATGATTCAGATCATGGGGTTTCAGCTGCCATTGGCAGGAAGAATCCAGTCTTCTCTTTCTTGCTGAAGCTGATAAAATCCATCAGTTAGGTGATATGGGAGGGGCTTCCTGCAGCTTCCCAGTCTAAATACTGCATAGTCCAAAGCCTCCCAGGTTCTTAGGGTATATCTCATTTCTTGAAGCCAAGACTTAAATAACCCAAATTTATCTCTTTCATCTGAAGACTGCTGTGTCATAGTTGAGGATTTCTCCTGCAATTCTCATTTCTTCCCCCTCCCTCCCCACACACACACTGTGCTTCCATAAATATTCTGCACATTTTGGCAACTCTCTGCATCCTTTGTTAAAATGGTACAAGTCCATTTACAAGGGAACAGGAGCATTTGAACCAAGGTCTAATATAACCAAACTAAAAAACTAGAATTACAATCTCCTCACACCCCAAAGTTGGATGTTGCTCCTCCTGTCATCCCAAGCTGATCAATATATGGGAGTTGGTGGTAAGAATAGGGGAAGGCCGCATGCATATGTCAAAAGACTGTGGAAGTGGGCAAGGGGCAGTTGCAATGGAGCAACATGGGCAGAGAATACATCCTGTCTACATACTGAGCAATGTTACTTCCTTCCAGGGGTATACCATAATCATTGTGGCAAACTTTGTGGAAAAGGTTACACACTGCACTCTTAGGCATTAACCATCTGTCTAAAATTCAAAATTACCCTCCTGCTTCATCAGTGATGTGCTAACTCTTTAAATCCCTAAATTTTGGTAACATGGAATGCTTGACAGACTTCTACTTTCACACATCTGTCTGGCACACACTAGTATCATCTGAGATATGTTTTGGAATATCCAGGTAGACACAATGAATAGCACATCTGAGTTTTGATGCTAGCATTTGGGATATTCTTCCAAAGACAGCTCCTATAAAGGGCTGTTCATTATATGCCCTCTTCTCTGGACAATAGTTGGCTCTTGGAATAGAACATTCAGGAAAGTTGGATTGGCCAAACTACCCTTGTTTGCTGAATATGATCCTTGTCACAGTCTTTTGTATTTACATGTTAGCTGGTTTGAATCTTAGTAGTGGAAGGAAAATAGAAATTTTTGAATTGGTTTATTTCCAAATAAACATGCATGCATACCTTTTATGAAATTGATTCCAAAATGATGTAATTTAAGAGCATCAAATTTCTGCTTCTTGTATATGGGTAACAAATGATGAGACTAAAAATGCTGAAAGAATGTTCTAGAAACGTATCATTGCCATCATCATCATCAATCGTCAACAGCATCATTCAATGCTTCGACCAATTGCTCCTCATTCTGCTGAGAAGAGACATCAAAAAGGTACATATTTTATTTCCTACTACCCAAATCTCCATCCCAGGCTTCTCCCAACATGGACAATAGCAGGAAAGACAGACTGAAATGCAAAAAGGGAAACCAATGATATATAAGTCATTTCTGGAATAATCGGTTTGAGATGACTAAAATATACTTGCAATTTCTATTCTCATATAAAGAAAACAGTGTCTTTCTTCCTGCACCATGGGCATCTTTCTTTTTTCATTCCTTGTCTCCTATCACTGGTATTTGCATTTCAGTATATTATTTACCTTCACAGAAACATAGGTCACACACCAAGATGTAATGATGCGTACTATTACATGACTCATCCTACAACTATGTGTCTGTCTATTACTTTTATGGATAAAATATTGGGACTCTTTTAAACAGTATGTAATTTATTACAAAAGCTAAAGTCTTTTAAAGAAAAAAGAAAAGTTGCTTATTATTATAAGCAAAAACCTTGGATTAAAATAAATCACAATTTTAATATGAGTCCCTGCTTGATCTGTCACCTCAGATAAGCAAATTGACCAATGATTAATTGTGAAGCACTTACCCCATCATTAGGTTTCTAGATCTGCTTCCAACCAATGTATTTGACAGCTTCCAGGCCACTAAGCTACCTTCCTCCTTTATTGCCTGCAGAATAGGCACAATACTCCAAACTCCACATTTTTTCAGAGGTTGGAGGGGCATTTCTGATGATACAGTACTTAACTTTTGGGGTGGGGGGGTCACTTTGAATGAGTGTTGACTCCTGGCAATTGCCTGGGCTAGTCTCTGCGGTTTTGTTGGCAAGACCTAGAGAAGTGGATTGCCATTGGCTGCCTCCTAGAGCTGAGAGAAACTGAAAAGCCCAAGTTTTACCCAGCTGGTTTTATACCTAAGGCAGGATTAGAACTCCTGGTCTCCTGGTCTGTAGCCCAGTGCCTTAACCATGACATCAACTGCATATATTATATATAGCAGTTGAAGAAGCTTCTTGGATGAAAAGGGAAATGTCTTCAAAGAAAAAGCAGAAAGTCCAGTTGCTTCTTGAAAAAGCACCTTTGGGACAGGACATAGAATGAACAGTTACAGGAACAGCGTATTTCTAACCTAAAGAAGAGAAAGACTGGGGTGATATAATAGCAATGGCAAGTAGACTTATATAGTGCTTTATAGTGCTTTATAGTCCTCGCTAAGCAGTTTACAGAGTCAGCCTATTGCCCCCAACAATCTGGGTCCTCATTTTACCCACCTCGGAAGGATGGAAGGCTGAGTCAACCTTGAGCCTGGAGGGATTTGATCTGCCAAATTGCAGTGGGAATAGCTTGCAGTACTGCACTCTAACCACTGCACCACGAAGACTCCATAATAACAATCTTCTAATATCTGAGGGACTGTCACAGAGAAGTGGGGGGGGGTTGACCTATTCTCTAAAGCAGGGGTCCCCACCCCACCCCCATGGCCTATTAGGAATCAGGCCACACAGCTGGAGGTTAGTGGTGGGTAAGTGAGCAAACCCAAAACCATGCCCCCTTCCCTCTCCTGTGGAATTTTTGTAGAAAAATTGTCTTTGGACTAGAAGATCTCCAAGGTCCTTTCCAATTCTGTTGTTTTGTGTTCTAAATGTACATCTCCAGCTGACCCCTTTATTTTTTCTAAGCAGCATTTTTAAAAAAAAATGTTCATTAAGTGAAGCACTCTGGTCTTTGCATTGCCATCAAACAGCTTTTAGTAGCAAGGAATGGGAAGTAGAAATAAAGAGAAAGCCACTGAGTTTGAGGTCACAAGTTTTTTTATCTACGATTTATAGCAGTTGCCAGATGGAAGTAAAGCAAATATAAATTACTCAGGTAAAGAAAATCAGACAGTGCATATGCATGCTTGAACCCAAAGTATCATTTCTGTCTTTTGTAATCTCTCTCTCCCCGTCCCTCCCTCTCTTTTTCCTTGAGAAGATATATAAGGGAGGATTTCCTGGGAAAGACATTTTATGTTTTACAACTAGCAAATCAATCTGTGATTTATCTTCAGAAGACACCTTGGATACAATTTTCTCTTATTTCCCTGCAAAGAAAGGATATTCTTTACAGAAGATCTTGGACATGTTGAAGAAATGCTTGGGGGAGTATTGGATCATGCAAAATCCATAGACTTTTCCTTGCACACCCACTGTTGGCCTTTTTTGACATGTGAGTTTGGATGTTGAAAAGAATCGAAGTCAAAAAGGTTAAAGGATGAATCTAACATACGTTTCTCCCATCTGTGGAGAAAATGATCTTGCCCCCTTAGAGAGGAAACTGAAATTATCCTATGATGCTGGAATGTCTTCCCAGGGACCACTAAACTGCAGATTTCATTTACTTCTTTAAAAATTGATGATGTGCTGTCCACTGCAATAGCAACAGCCCTTCTGCTTTATGTGTCAGCTTTACAAAGATGGCTAATAAGAGGGGCGGGGAAATAGGTGTCAGAATGAAGAATTGGGATTGAGATAATTTGGGATTAAAACTCCACTTTTCTATGAAGCTCCAGACAATTTTATGTGAGAATAAAACTCAAGATGGAGAAGAAAGAAAGTGTTATTTTTTTTAACCTGAGCTTTTAAGGCAAAAGAAAAAAGTAATATAAATGTAAATACTGTACATCAATCATTCCCAAAAGGAAACCTCCTTTATAAACGAGAGACATTCTGCAATGAATTTAGGTTTAAGTTAAACATGCTAAGAGTTTATCACCTTTATTCTTTGTTTATACAGTATGTGTTCCTCTTCCAGATATATCTATGCTTATTTCAGCTGTAAAATGGGCCTTACTTTGGAAATACTCATCCAGCCATACTTAGTAAAATAAGCTAGAATTGCTTATTATTATTATTTTCCACCAAGCCCTGGATTCATTGGGATTTGTCCTAGTAGCACAGTCATTTAATAAAACTTCATTCCAGCAGAGGAGGCCCTTACTGCTATTCCCTTAGTGTGAAGCTAGTATAGGAAGTTCAGGCATTTCATCTTTAGCAAAGGAGCAAGCTGGCACAATAATCAAGCTGTGATTGGGAACAGAGTGTGGTACTTAATTAAGGCTCTGTCTTTTATTCTCAGGAGGCAATTCAGCTGGGCTTGAATAAACTAGAGGACCAGGGCATGGTGGGAATGTCTTTCGAAGGAGCAGGAGAATTGGGTCTCCCGGGCTGCCTCATTAGCATGACAATATCCCCCAGGATGCACTTGGCATGATGTAATGCTCAGAATTAGAGAGATGAAAATGTTCCTTGCAGGGGGCTGCAACATTTGCAGTGCGCACTGGCTGTTACTTCGGGGCATGGAATTTCTGGGTCCGTCTTTCGGCAAAAATTGTTTGCTAATTGAGAGAACTTAAGCAAACAACATGCTATTAACTCCCCCTCCCTCCTCCCAGCTTTTCTCAAGCAGCACTAAGAAACCAGCAACCTTGGCGATACTCATCGCAAGAACTTAAGAAGCTGAACCATTCTACCAATAGTACCTCTTAACTCTTTTGAATAAATTCCACTTCAAAAGAATTGTAATGACCTGTGGGGAGCACAGAAAAAGCCTTTTCACTCTTAAGAAAATATACAAGAAAATCTGACATTCAAAAATGCCTCTAAGCCAGTGGATAGCCTCTATGGTGACATCCCTGTGAAGAAATTGAAAACATGGAGCCATTTTGCAATAGAGCAGTTATCTACCAGGCCTATTTTGCAATCCATTGCCACCTCCCAAAACTCATTATAGGAATGCCATGAAACACATTCACACCTTGAAAACCTTGCTGGTGGATATAGATATCCTGGCTTAAGTTTCACTACCTCCAGTTGCCAGTATCTGTGGATCCTTTGAAGGCTGAAAAAACCAGCATAGATTAGAGAGAAGTGTTGAAAGAACAACTAGTCTACTCTCTTAAATGATATGACCAAATACTAAAAACTATACTTCCAACAGGGCGAAATGTTGACATTTAAATCTAAAATTCAGATTTAGATTTAAAGTTAAATCTAAAGTTCATATTAAGACAGAGAAAGACTGATAGATCGCTAGAGGAAATAGGGATGGCTATTCTGTTTCTGTGTTCATTTTCAGTGTCATTTAGATTAAGCAAGGTCCTGTGCTGAGGCCCTAAAATAGAAATTAATTCTCAGAGTTGGGGCTAGCTGCTGCTAAAAGCTAGCAGCAGTAGGAAAGAAAGAGTGAAGAACCTTTTGTTTGTGGAAATGAGTATAAAAAATTAGCAGAGTTATGACTGGTCTACAAGCTGCAGTTGGGACACAATTGTGGTGGCCAATTTCTTACTGGGGTCTCTGTGTATCATGTTACCATCCTGTGGAAGCAATCAGGCTACTACTGATTAACTGCTAAGCCAACCTGGAAGTTTTGCATATGATTTTGTACAACTGCAATATCTAAAGTGCCACCTTTACCAATGCAAATTGATCGTAAAGACTGTAAGGCATAGGATGATTGTATACAATCATTTTATCTTGCAGATAGAACCTGTGCTCAGCAGTGTCCTCTGCCTTGAAATCCTTGAGGCATCAATTTTTAGGTTCCTGTATATATTTCTTTGCTCTGTTCTTTTCTTTGTATTAATTGAAGTGTCCTTCCTTCCTTCCTTCCCTCCCTCCTTCCTTCCTTCCTTCTTTCTGTGATTGATGATTGATGTTGATGATGTTGTTGAAGATAAATAGTTAATTGATATTCCATTTTATTGTGTACAGCACTTCTAATTAATTTAAATTTTTATCACTTGTCCAGTGACTTCATGTCTATTTATTTATACATTGACAAAATTTAGTCCATCTTTTCTTTAGGAATGCAAGACGCTTATAGGGAGGCAGGTATCTACTTTAATTTTATATGTACACGATCACCAACTCTTTGAGATAGGTTGGGCTGAGAAAGAGATACAAGTAATCGTCGACTTAGTTCATGTAGTGACCATTCAAAGTTAAAACGGCACTGAAAAATGTG